AGGCTTTTTCACCGTTTGTCGAGCAAAGGTTTTTCGCTGATTGTTGGGAAACTGAAGTAAATCTTGTTTTGAACGGAAACGTCGCTGACGAATCAACACCCTTATTCACATTTTTCAATATTGTGAAAAAGCCGCGTTCTTCTGGCATGTGAATCACTTTTGTTCGAGTGGGAAATCTAATATTCAACGTAACGTTGATCTATTTGTATCGATCAAGAATTAAATAGTGTTTTCATTTTTATTTCAAATTCTGCTTTAAATCTTGTTACATCAGGCGATGTTTCGAGCTCTTTTACGAGTTAATGGTTTATGAAAAACTGCAATGCTTAAGATATGAATCGGTCAGTTTCATGCTAAATGAAAACGGTGTCGGTCACTGCGATTGATTGGGAACTTTCCTCGTGAAACGTGGAAGTTCTTGCTTGAATTTTCAGATTTAATAGGTGTACAAACAAAGTGGATCGCGATTCATGATGGAAAATACTGAAAACCTACCCTTACGTATCCCCCGATCAGATAAAATTTTGATCTGTCTTCCGATCAAAAGAGCTTGATTTGGCACTTTACCACTGCAGATGTTAATTGTGCCTTCACTTTGACAGGCCTACGTGGATAAGGCGTTTAACAACGAGATTCTGGCTCTTGATGTCAAGTGTAAAAACAATGAATGGGGCTGCAAGTGGGAGGGCGAATTTCAGAATTACCAGGTAAGCTATGCAGATTGTGTTTTACTAATTTTAGCTAATAAAAATAATTTTAAGGCAAGGAATCGCCTTTGTTATAAACACTGGCTAAGAGTTTTAATCAACGCGTCTTGTTGACGTTTATTTAAGTGCTTTCTGTATGCGTGGTAAATTGTCATTTGCTGTTCAAAAACAGTGGTTTGTTTGTCTTGCTCTCTAGCGGCGTTTCAGCATTCGCGAGTTTTATTAAGTGTTGAATAGAGCTTCCTTCCTAATGATGTAAAGTGGGATGATTGGACGCGTCGCTGAAGAAAAATGTTATCATACTAACGAAAATAGGGCCTTTGTGAGTTAGAAACAGCAGATAGCAGATGTCAACGGGGTGTTCGAGAAAACACCTATGAATGAAAAGAGATTCTCTGTATAATCTTGAAACGAATCTCTCGATTTTTTATTTTCTATTTTTTTGTTTTCTCCAGTTCCAATAAAACTGAGATAAAAAGAGATTTACAGAAATGCAAAAATTGATTCCTATTTTCCCAAACGAAAACAAGTCAAAGCTGGCACCTGTTCTCGCAAGAAAATAACTCACTTAGCCTGTAATATAATCTTCATTTTCGGTTTTCATTTCTTATTGTTCCAAATTTATAAATTACACATTGTTTTCTTAAAATGCCGGAGAACGCCGCTAAGCGCCGGCGATGGCAATTAAATTTCGGCAGTTGAAGCCGTGAAATCAGGAGGAATATTGAAAATATTATGAAAATAACTGGCAATGGCGGAAGAGGTTTTTGTTTTTGTTAGTTATAAATAGAACGTTTTTCAGAATTTTCCTCCGCTTGTATTTTTAGCATAACTCTTATTTCTACGGTTCCGTAAAACATTGTCTAAATATATAGCTATGGTTTTTTTATGTTTTTAGCTTAATTTTGCTTAATGAAAAAGCGAATTCGTGGGGAACTGAGCGGAAAATTAAGTGCGCATCAATTCTCAAAAGAGCAAACAAAGAAAGTAAAGTAGAAACATGTTTTCAAACTCAAAAACTACATTCTGTGCAATTTATTTCTACGGTTCCGGAAAACATTGTCTAAATATATTGCTATCGTTTTTTTATGTTTTTAGCTTTATTTTGCTTAATGAAAAAGCGAATTCGTGGGGGACTGAGCGAAAAATTAAATACCCATCAGTTCTCAAAAGAGCAATCAAAGAAAGTAAAGTAGAAACATGTTTTCAAACTCAAAAACTACATTCTGTGCCATTTACTTTAAGAACAAGTACAATTACTCGGCTAAAACGCTTGAAAAGAAGGTATTTACTTTCTTATTCCATACCGCTTTTGACAGGATAACGGCGTTCAAAATGTAGGCAAGTATAGCGTGCACAATGTAGGGTTTCATTTAGGGATAACAGCTACTCCCTCTTCTCCTCTTCCTCCGGAATATTTTCTGTAATTTAACACTTAAACTACGAAAGCCGAGGTAGAACTTAATATTTGAGGCTTTGAACACTTTTGAAATTACCCTATATTTAAATCCCAGTATTTTTGCTCGCATGGTTGCTTGATATTTAATGTACACAGAGTTTAATAATCACCTGACAGTTTACTTTGATGACAAGGGAGCTGATCACCAGCTTAAGCCTCCCTTCACCTCCTACCGAGTCAGTGATGGAGATCGGAGACTGCTGGTCCTAAAAGGCCTGCAGTTTCTGTTTCCAGCTGTCGCTCTGGCCACATCTGGCGAGGTTGCTAAGCAACAATATCAATGTCGCCTCTTAAAAAAAAGTCTTGTATTTGTGTCCCTCACATCCTTCAGTTACCAACAATTACAGTAAAAAAGAGAGGTGCGGTGGTCTCATGGTTACTGCGGTCGACTCCAGATCGAGCGGTGCGGGTTCGAGCCCTGGCCGGGGACACTGTGTTGCGTTCTTGGGCAAGAAACATTACTCTCATAGTACCTCTCTCCACCCAGGTGTATAAATGGGTACCGGCCAACTTAATGCTGGGGGCAACCCTGTGATGGACTAGCATTTCATCCGGGGAGGGGGGAAGTATAAATACTCCTAGTCGCTTTATTCCACAAAACTGGGATAAGCTTCAGACTGATTGGCCACTTGGCTCGACGCAGACTTTACTTTGGCCTTGAAGTAATAGGTCTTGATCGATATTTGACATCAGAAATGCTCTGTTTGCGTTTCAGGATCACGTAAACTCGAATTGTGAGTACGCGGAAATCCTGTGTATGAACGACTGCGGAGCTAAATTTCAGAAGAGATTTCTGCAGAAACATCTCGACAAAGATTGTCCGAAAAAGATAATCGCTTGCCCATACTGTGATGACAGACATCTTAGAGAGGACAAGAAGGTAAAGAAATTAGAGCAGATTAGATCCCATTAAGCGGCCATCCCCGAGGAAATGGGAGGTGGCCGTTTAACAGGGGTTGGCCACTTAGTAGGGTTTGTTAGGATTTAGCATGAAACTGGTGCACATGATGAAGACTACATGTCACTGTTTTTTTTATTCCCTTGTCACGGAAATATTATATCCTTTAGGGGTTTTATTTACAGTATTTTAGACGCAATGATTTCGGGACTTCGATGTCTGGCCGCTTAATTATGGGATGTCCGCCTAATAGCCCAATAATTGTTCGACTCTAGAGCATATCAAAGATGTAAAGCGAGGAATGTTGCAAAGGTAGAGATACATTTTGCCAACCTACCAATCATTCACGATCGCTCAATTCTTGCTTTTCTTGATAGATTTTGGCCAAAACTGTGCTGTTAAAAGAAACAGGATAAATTTGTATAAAGGTTTAGAGCCCTGAGGGCAAATAATGTTAGGCGATATGAATTACTGTTGTCAAACATTTGCAGTAAAAACCGTCTTTGGCACATAGTATTGTGAAAATACTGAATACCAAAATCCAATAAAACTTTATTATCTACGGTAGTGATTAAAGCTGTAAGCTTATGGGGCCGGGCTCTCTCTTTTTGAGAGAGGTAAGAAATACTTTTGACTGTTTGATGCAATTTGTTTTCCAGGCACATCTGGCAGATGAGTGTCCCAAACTGCCGCTGCCATGTCCCAACAAATGCGACAAGAAGCTGGAGATTCCTCGAGACGAGGTAAACTTTAATATGGTATCATGTCAGTTTCTTCGTTAGACACAGTTCCACTAACAGGTCCTTTAAGCTTAAAATGGACACCTATATGCTTAAAGTGGAGACTCAATCATGCTGTATTCACTTGTATGTCTTCATGCACGCCATTTACGGATATACTTTGGACCTCACCACGTGACCAGCTCCCAGTTGGCCTGATA